TGTTTGCATAGACATGCCTACTCTGCCTAAGTGCGCAGCAATGTTGGAACTGCTTTGCCAGAATGATCAAGTTTGGCTGGTCTTGGGATACAAATCACTCAAATATTTGAATGCAGGGGTAATGAAATGTTGTAATCCTTATTGTATGAGTAAAGGGCAGCAGAATTGTCCTTAGCATGCCCTGATTGAGGGTTTCTCCTAAACTGAACCTCACTCGCTAAGCAGAGGGTAGGGATGCCAAATCCCAGTGAAGAAGAGAGTGGATGGGGACAGATGTTCCTACTTGATGCTGTGGATGCTGCTAGAGTGCTAATGACAGAGCTGATTAGACTCAATAGAGAGTTCTTGTTTCTGGTTGGTGATTCCTAAAGCTGTCAGGTCTAGGAGCTAAGCTTGAGGGCAGGTCTACACTACAGCCTGGATCCATGCTCTGAGATCGATCCACTGGTGGTCGATTTAGTGGGTCAAGTGAAGACCCACCAAATCAACAGCAGGATCGCTCTCCAGTCGACACCTGTACTCTACCCCTGACAAAAAGAGTAAGGTACGTCGACGGGAGAGTGTCTCCCGTCAAACCCCCACGGTGTAGACCCTGCGGTAACTCAACCTAAGGTATGTCGACTCCAACTACGTTATTCACATAGCTGGAGTTGCGTAGTATAGGTCAATTTACTGCGGTACTGTAGACATAGCCTTAGATGTTGTATGGGGACAGTGAAAGATATCGCAGAAACTGCACTGGCTGTGAGGGTCACCACTACCTGCTGAAGTCACTGAGCTGGGTTAAGTGACAAATCCTCAGAACGTTATGTCGTGGAGCAGTGACCAGTGGTGGCAGAGAAGCAGCGTAGCCATGGCAGTGGCAGAGAAGCAGTAGTGGCCAGTGATGGCAGAGAGATGGTGGCCAGTGGTTGTGGTGGCAGACAATGGCAGCGGCAGCAAAGAAACAGTTGTAACTGCTAGCGAGTTGCAGAGGCATTACTTGATGCCCCTCCCCCAGTCCCTGGGGTGGGAGATGAACCCTGTGAATACATCTCTGAACTCTGGGTCTTCACTAGCTAATGACAGCCAACTGTGAGTGGGGTGCAGCGGAGGGAGAGGGGAGTGATGTGTTTAAAGAGACATTTGTTTGTCACACTTTCACACCACAAGGTAGGAAACTGAGGCAAAGGACACTTACCCAATGCACTGTGGGGTCGGTTTGTTTATGGTCGCATGCTTTTGAAGGTGGTTTTGATGTTTTCCCAAATTAATGCTTGGTTCCCTTTCCCTTTTAATAAAAGTTCTCTTTTGCTATACACAGACTTGGTGCTTGCGAGTGGGGAAGTATTGCCTCTTAGAGGTGCCCAGGGATGGTGGTAGATTTTCCCAGATTTCTGGTTAGGGGCTCGAGCCCGTTCTCTTTTGTATTGTTAAGAGGAACCCTTTTATATTGAAATCGGCTCCTGTTACTGCCATCTCCACTTGGGAGAAGGGGTACATATGTAAGATTTAGTCATACTTTTTCTAGTAACCGCAAGTGATTAAGGGCCAGAATCTCTGTTGTATCTTGCATCTACTGGGTGCAATGAAGAGAGGGCTTCAAAAAGCCAGTTGAAATTCCCTGATCCTGAGGCCATTTTCACCCTTGCCCCATCATAGTTTAGAGTAGCCTTGGGATTTCTCTAATCTGTACCGGCTGACTGAACTCCCCTTGCCGTCTCCCCCAGAGGCCAGACGACAATCACTGGAGTATAACACAGGATCCCTCCCCTCTGGACATACTCCTGGAATGTCCCCTGTGCCAGGACCTCACTGGAAGAACCTTCAACTGGGGAGATCTGGCTCCTTCATACCACCGTAGCACAGATGGGCCACAGTAGGGGAGAGAACTTGGCCTGGAATGTTTTTTTACTTTTTTTTTTTTTAAGAGTTAATTTAGTAAGAACATAAGAAGAAATCACAGTACTGGATGCAAACATTTACTAAAATGAAATGTCATTAGACATTTTTAGACTACAAGGTTTCTTTCTTGTACTAAAACCTCTGTTTATCTGAAACATTTTAATATGACTTTCCTTTTTTAAAAAAAACTTTGCACTAGTTGCATTTACTCTTGCACTACCATGTGTCAACATGGGCACACTCATGCAGACACTAAAGTCTGTGGGGCTACTCATGTGAGTAAAATTACTTGTGTAAGCATGTGCAGGATCAGGGCTTATGATACTAGTAAAATTACAACATCTCATTACTTAGTCAAACCACAAATTGTGACAGCTTTAGCCAATTTTTTTAAGTAGTATTCTGGTGATTAGAAAAAACTTACAAAGTTATGTATGTCTAGTGTATTTATGCTGCTGGTTTAGAAAATGTCCTATAATAGCAGTGGGAAGAAAGATGATTAGAAGAGTGATAAAGCGATCTTAACTACTTAGAAGTGCATAGTCTACAAGTAATTGAAGTTTAAATTACATTCTAAGACCCCAGCCCTGCAAAATGATCTGCAGAGCCTGAGCTTTATTCCTGCATAGTGTTCTCTTGACTTACGTGGGACTTTGCATCCATGTTCTATTGCCCTCTACTGGATGGAATCAAGAA